TTGCAGCAGAGCCAGCAGACTCGGTTCCTTCAGCCTGCCCTTGCTCAGTGCCAGCTCCTTGGAACCGGGAGCTGTGGTAGCCTGTAGTCAATTGACATCTTCTCTCCACAACGGGTGCACTAGAAACAAATGCAGACAACAGACAGGTCACTGCAGCAAAGAGAGTTCTGGAAGCACAGTTCAAGAGTAGCTAATCTAGAGCTGGGAGTCAGAGAAGATGAGAGTCTAAAGGTGTGGTCTTGATGGTGAGGTTGGACCATGGCCCTGCAGGAGCCGGGCTTGAGGAATGGTCAGGGAGGGTAGAAACAACGGGCAAGAGAGGGTGTAACTTTACACTTCGTACAGAGAATAAGCATCCACATGCAGGAGAGAGGGAGGACACTGTAACAAGTGGGGCCCGAGAAGGAGGTCTGGAAGATAAGGGTCCCTTCGTAGAAACAGCCAAAGCCACACTAAGTGATCTGGCTTCATCCTGGTGGTTTGGGTGGGGAGCAGTAGGATTGGATATGTGGCTTTGTAAATTGTGACTGCGGTGTGTGCAGCAGACTCAAGGGGGCGGGAGAGGAGGCTGAGGCACAGGGAAGGGGGGGATGCCCAGGGAGGCTGACGGTGATGGAGGGAAGCCGAAAGACAGGCTTGGTGCTGAATATGTGGACAAAAGAAAATGCCCCCCAAACTGATGCCCAGTTTTGTTTTGTTTTTCCAGACTGGGTTTCTCTGTGTAGCCTTGGCTGTCCTGGAACTCATTCTGTAGACCAGGCTGGCCTTGAACTAACAGAGATCTGCCTGCTTCTGCCTCCTGAGTGCTGGGATTAAAGGCGTGCGCCACCACTGCCTGGCTGCCCAGTTTTGTTTTGTTTTTTTATGTAGTTTACTTTTACTATTTGTGTGTGCGTGCACATATGTGTGCACATGCCATATCATATGTGTTGAGATCAGAAGACAAACTTTTCAGGACTCTGTTGGTTCTGGGGTCTGAACTTAGGTCATCAGGCTTGCTTGGCAAGCACTGACCATCACCGAGCCATCTTGCCGTCCAGATGCTGAGCTCCCGACTGGACCCATCAGTTCACTGGTTTGGCTGTGGCTTCTTCTCCAAGCAGCAGACAGGGAAGGAGGCAGCAGGCTTGGTGGAGGAGGCAGGTCAGTCGCTTCTGTTGCGTACCTGGTGATTTTCATGGAGACATACGTGGACATGCAGACTGGGTTCAGGTCCTGGAGCACAGAGAGATGAAAGGAAAGCCGTGTAGGCTTTGGAATTAGGGGCCCAAGATGGAAAGACCTTTGAGAACCATCTCTGACTACGGGCTTGGCAAGAAGCAGCTGTCACTTTGCTTTTCAAAACTGTGTGACTCTGCACAGCCCGTGTTAGTGCTGGGTGGCCGCTTGGTCGTCTGAAGTGATCCTTTGTTCATTCTCCTGGTGTCCTTTCAAGGTCACTGTCGTTGTAGCAGAGGATTCACACCAGGATTCCATTCTGATGTTTGAGTAATGTTGGTCTAATATGCCGTGTTTGGGAATTACTTTTTATTCCTTATTTAGGGTAAAATTAAATAAACTGAATTAAATCTTACATTTTAAATTGTTTCTCTAAAGGAAGAAAGATATAACCTGGAACTTTAGAAATGTAACTTGAGAGCATGGCCGAATGGAGGGAGGGCAGGGAAATGTTCCAGAGCATGGCCGCATGGAGGGGGGCAGGGAAATGTTCTAGAGCATGGCAGCATGGAGGGAGGGCAGGGCAGTGTTCCAGAGCATGGCAGCATGGAGGGGGGAGGGCAGTGTTCCAGAGCATGGCAGCATGGAGGGGGGCAGGACAGTGTTCCAGAGCATGGCAGCATGGAGAGGGGCAGGGCAGTGTTCCAGAGCATGGCAGCATGGAGAGAGGGCAGGGCAGTGTTCCAGAGCATGGCAGCATGGAGGGGACAGGACAGTGGTCCAGAGCATGGCAGCATGGAGAGAGGGCGGGGCAGTGTTCCAGAGCATGCAGCATGGAGGGGGGGGGCAGGGCAGTGTTCCAGAGCGTGGCAACATGGAGAGAGGGCAAGACAGTGTTCCAGAGCATGGCAACATGGAGGGAGGTAGGGCAGTGTTCCAGAGCATGGCAGCATGGAGGGGGGCAGGGCAGTGTTCCAGAGTATGGCAGCATGGAGAGAGGGCAGGGTAGTGTTCCAGAGCATGGCCGCATGGAGGGGACAGGACAGTGTTCCAGAGCATGGCAGCATGGAGAGGAGCAGGGCAGTGTTCCAGAGCATGGCAGCATGGAGGGGGCAGGACAGTGTTCCAGAGCATGACAGCATGGAGAGAGGGCAGGGCAGTGTTCCAGAGCATGGCAGCATGGAGGGAGGCAGTGTTCCAGAGCATGGGAGCATGGAGGGGACAGGACAGTGGTCCAGAGCATGGCAGCGTGGAGGGGGCAGGGCAGTGTTCCAGAGCATGGCAGCATGGAGGGGGCAGGACAGTGTTCCAGAGCATGGCAGCATGGAGAGAGGGCAGGGCAGTGTTCCAGAGCATGGCAGCATGGAGGGGCCAGGACAGTGCTCCAGTTTCATTTCTGTTGCGGTAAAGAAATATTCTGACAATAAGCGATGTTGCTAAGAGAAAGAGTTTATTTTAGTTTGGAATTCTCCAGTCTGTCACTGGCAGGGAAGTCACAGAGGTAGGAGTCCTGGACTGCTAGTTACACCATGTCCATAGTCAAGAGCAGAGAGAAATAAGTGCAGCCATGCTGCCTGCCTGCTTGCTGGCTAGCTTTCTCTACTCTCAGACCATTCAGGCCTGCCTTAGTTACTGTTCTATTGCTGTGATGAAAAACCATGACCAAAGCAACTTATAAAAGGAAACACTTAATTGGGGTTGGCTTCCGGTTTCAGAGGGTTAGTTCATGAACATAATGGTGGGGAGCATGGTGGCAGGCTGGAGCAGTAGCTGAAAACTTTACATCCTGATCATCAGGCAGCAGGAAGAGAAGAGAGAGAGGCTGAGCCTGGCATGGGCTTGTGCAACCTCAAAGCCCACTTCCAGTGACACACCTCCTCCTCTAGCAGTGGTCTGGGGTCTCCCATACCAACCAGCAATCGAGATAGGCCCCCACTGACATACCACGGGCCAGTCTGATCTAGATAATTCCTTATTTGCATTGTCTTCCCAGGTTATTCCAGGTTGGCTCAAGTGACAGTTAAAACTAGCTAGCACAGGAGGTGAAGTCTGAGCACAATTCTGTCACTGTCAACTGTACTTGGATGCGGTTTGCAAAAATGTCACTGATTTGAAGAAAATGACCTGAATTCCAGCCCAGTGGTTTTATTTCCAAGTAGAAACTGAAGCCTTCATTCCCTTGGGGTCAGGGCTTGGCCTGTGTTACACTGACCATTTGGGTCGAGGTCGGATGGATCCTGGAAGCCCCTGACCCCTGCTCTTGTGCTCTTTCTGTGCCTTTGTGGTTCCTTGGAGAGTCACTTCCTTTGTCCCTGTCCACATTTCAACCCTCCCACCTCTCCAGATCACTGGAGTCAGAAAAAGTGTCAAGAGCAACCAGTGCTTTGCCTCACCGCCCGCCTTCCGAGGAGTCGGGTGACCTGGCCCGCTGGCCACCTGTGGCCAGAGCCTCTTGAGCTGATGTCAGTCTACTTGTTCCCAGTCGACACTTCTCTGTTGAAGCTGTTTGGGGATCACATCTGTCTCACTTGTCATTTTTGGATAGTGACACATGTAATTTTATAACAGAGCTGTGTGTGGTAGACCGAAGTTTGATTCTCACTGTATGAAGTCTGAACATTCTGCCTAAATGCTAACGTTTCCTATGGAAAGCCGCCTGAGGGACCAGAAGACTTGATTTAACCCTGATAGCCTGCTGCTTGTTGGACTCTGCCGTGTCCTCGGCGTCATGCTCAATGCTTCCTCCTTGGATGTAGTTGCAGTTAAAATGGCGATAAAATTTGCCGAAGCTTTGGAGCTGGCCAAGGCTGAGTTTGGGTTGTTTCCAAGCCCTCTGCCCAGTGCCCGTCCTTGTCTGTTGGGATTGTGCCTTTCCCCTGAACTCAGCTCCCTCTACGTCTCACATCTGCAAATCACTTTCTTTCCTGAAGGTTGTTGGTTGCAGGAGCATGCAGGGCTAGGAGGAAGGGGTGTAAAGGAGGGAAGGATATGTCAAAATGGTACAGCAGATGCCATGTCTGTTCTTACAAATGCCTTGGCTGTCCTATCCTGAAAGTTCTAGGGTGGCCTTTGTCATAGAGACCCAGAGCCCCCAGGGCCTACCGCACAAACACAGTGCTTGCATATGTGCCCTTTTAGCTATCAAATGACTTAAATCTGGTAACTAAAATAACACTCTCGATCACGTTCATCTGCAGGAAAAATACAGCGTCCATTTGACCTGCTTTACTGGGAGCTCATAAAAATGATGGATGTTACAATCCGTATTGCTACACCCAAGCAAGAGAGCCTTCTTCCTGTTGATTCTGGGATGTTAGTTAAATGAAAGCAGACTGAACTGCTGATTAGAATCTATACAGAAATAGCCCTGTTCTCCCAGTTGAGAAGCAAACAGTAAATATTTGGTTCTGTCAGTAAGCATCTGACTTAAGAAGAAGTCATCTGAGCTGTTCTTATGACTTTTGTTTAAGGTAATCCTTTATTTTGGAATTTTACCAAAGATTATAAAGCTTCCTTAGCAAGAATCTATGGCAGTGCTTGGGCATTCAGTGTAGGTTGATAGTAGTGTCTTTGTCTTGGATTAGGTAACTAAGCCTTGGCACACCAAGCGATGAGAGAACACAGCAACAGGCACGTGCTGTCTAAAAGCATGCTTTGCCCCAGGAGTGCTAATACACACCTAAATCCCAACATTGGGAAGCCAAGGCAGGAAAGTCAGAGTTTGAGGACCACAGGGGCAACATAGTGAACTCCAGGCCAGCCCCGGGCCCGCTCCAAGGCCCCATCTCAAAATAAAACATATATACGAATACTTTGTAAACAGTTCTTCTTTTTAATTTTAGGAAACAGATATTGATGACAGGTATGGAGATCTCGATGCCAGAGGAGATTCTGATGTTCCTGAGATCCCACCGGCCTCAGACAGGACCCCCGAGATCCTCAAGAAAGCCCTGTCTGGACTATCTTCAAGGTATGATGGGTGAGGACAAGTCCCTCTTGCTGCCCAGCACAGGCACATGCTTCAAGGTTATCCTGGTTTGTGAGTTTGGGGCCCCCGGGAGAAGAAGGCCAATCTGCAGGCAATCTTTATTTCACTCTTCGACCGTGTGCAGTGAGAGAACCAAGTCTGACAGGCTGGCTGGTGAAGGTTACGGAAACTACCCAGGCTCCTAGACTTTGTGGTGTTGAGTCCCTCATAATGAAAATCACATATTGTGTGTTCTTCAAATGCCAGAAAAAAAGAAGTAATTGTTATCGTTTTCTTTGATGGCTGTTGTTGTTGTGTGTGTGTGTGGGGGGGGTGTATATATGTGTGTGCATATGGTACGTGTATATGTTCTTGTGAGAGTGTGTGTGTGTGTGTGCATGCATGCACAGGCCAGAGATCAGCATCAGGTGTCTTAATTGATCTGCTCTCCAGTTATTTTTTGAGATAGGATCTCTCACAGAGCCTGAGGCTCATTGATGGCTCCCTCCCACTTCTACTCCCACCCCCCTTCCCCGTGCCGCCCCCACTCTGCAGTGTGCCACTGGGCTTGGCTTTAACGTGGGTGCTGGGATCCAAATGAGACCCTTGTGCTCGCTCAGCAGGGGCTTGTTGCCTGAGCCATCTCCCAGCCTCCAGAATTTCTTTCTTTAACCGAGTCTAAAATTACTGCCTAAAACTCAACAACACTTTACCATTTTGTATTTGTGCTATTTTAAAGTGTTTATGACCGTGGGATTTCAGCGAATTCTATCTTCCCCTGCTCTATATGCCTCGGTAATTTAAATGATAAAATTTATGGACGTGAAGGAAATGTTAAGTTTCATCCAGGTTTCTGTGTGACGTGTTGCATACTGACAGCACTTTACCAACATCTTTTTACTACCCACACCTGAGAGGCACAGACACAAACATGCTCTGAAGCATGACACAAGTATGCTGTTATCTTATATGACATCCTCTGATTTCTTTCTGCTTGATGCTGTTCTTTGGAACTCAACAAGAAATGATGGGCGTTTCTCCTGACAAGTCACAGCCCACCATTCTAACAGCCCTGGTCTAGTCATGGAGTCAAGGCTGTCCGACTTTGCTTGTTTGCGTTAGGAGATAACCATTCTGAGGCTATGAAGGGAGACTCATATTCAACTCAATCTCTCCTACCTTACCCTCACGACATGGATCAGTCCTGTGAACCGTGTGTGTGTGTGTGTGTGTGTGTGTGTGTGTGTGTGTGTGTGTGTGTGTGTGTCTGTCTGTCTGTCTGTCTGTCTGTCTGCGTAATGAGTGCGCATGCTCACGTGTGTGCTCTCCTCACCATCAAGTAGGCAGTTATATAGCAATCACCCACTGGGTGTCTGCTTTGACACTGTCTGCCTGGAGACAGCAAAGGTGCCAATGGGCTGAGGCACAGAGCTGTTCCCACTTCAGACACGATCACAAATCGAGGCCTTCAGAACTCTAGACTAACCAGACACGGATTGGGTTCCCGTCAACCCTCTCATTAGGCTCAGTTCAGAGTAGCCCACAGGCCCTGAGGAAATGCTCACATTGCTGGTTTATTGTAAAGTGTCTTAATGGACTTCTGACAGAATAGTTGAAGAGGTACAGAGGGTGAGGTCTGCGTGTCCCACTGTTAGAGTCTGTCCCTGTGAGTTGTCGTCACCTCCCTCCTGGGATGCAGACAGTGCTCCTCCCTCCTGGGATGCGGACAGTGCTCCTCCCTCCTGGGATTTGGACAGTGCTCCTCCCTCCTGGGATTTGGACAGTGCTCCTCCCTCCTGGGATTTGGACAGTGCTCCTCCCTCCTGGGATGCGGACAGTGCTCCTCCCTCCTGGGATTTGGACAGTGCTCCTCCCTCCTGGGATTTGGACAGTGCTCCTCCCTCCTGGGATGCGGACAGTGCTCCTCCCTCCTGGCATGCGGACAGTGCTCCTCCCTCCTGGCATGCGGACAGTGCTCCTCCCTCCTGGCATGCGGACAGTGCTCCTCCCTCCTGGGATGTGGACAGTGCTCCTCCCTCCTGGGATGTGGACAGTGCTCCTCCCTCCTGGGATGTGGACAGTGCTCCTCCCTCCTGGGATGCGGACAGTGCTCCTCCCTCCTGGGATTTGGACAGTGCTCCTCCCTCCTGGGATTTGGACAGTGCTCCTCCCTCCTGGGATTTGGACAGTGCTCCTCCCTCCTGGGATGCGGACAGTGCTCCTCCCTCCTGGGATGCGGACAGTGCTCCTCCCTCCTGGCATGCGGACAGTGCTCCTCCCTCCTGGCATGCGGACAGTGCTCCTCCCTCCTGGGATATGATAGGGCTTTCCTCAAATGGGGGTCTACTGGTTCCCTTCCAGGCAAGATGGAGTAGAGTATTTCCTTACAGCCAGCTCTAAGACAGGAAGCTGAAGGAAAATTAGAGTATACTTTTAGTTTCTGTGACCTACCTAAGAGAAGAAAAGGTCTGGTTTCTCTGGCCTGCCTTTGAGAGACAAAAAGGACTGGTGAAAGGAGGCAGGCGAAAGCAGCAGGGGAGCTTTGCTCTTTGAAGTGTGCATTGGAGGCCTCCCCGGCCAGCATTCATCTAGTCTTTGAGAAAATAAAGACCTTGGGAGGTAAGCCTGGAATTGTGGTTGAAAATGGAAAAATCTGTCACAGTGCCATAACCATATTAGGATCAATTATTTCAAAGCAATGTTTTCCTGTTTGGTTTAGTTTTAATCTGAAGGAACAAAGATATGCTATCTTATTGAGAGCATGATTGTGAGTTTAATAGTCCTTGTTCCCAATCGTTTCTGTGACCTAGTTCACAGATATATCTTTGCTTTAAAAATCTCATCAGATCTGTGTCACACCGTGTGTGTGTGTGTGTGTGTGTGTGTGTGTGTGTGTGTGTGTGTGTGTTTGTGTGTGTGTGTGTGTGCATACGTATGTGTTTTATATAAATGCATACATGTGTGTGTGCGTTAGTTCAGTGGTTTGTAATAATGATGCTGAATTCCCATGTGTCTTTCTCAGTAATGACTTTTTAATCTAAAACAACAACAGAGATAATAGCAGCGGTTTATTGAGCATGCACTGTGTGCTAAGCACTGCCTTCAACACATACATACGTTCTCACAGCAGCCCTGCAACATGGTTATGCTTGTAACTGTTTTGTAAGTGAGGAACCTGAGGGGTAGAGGAATAATATGATCCCAGGCACAGTGATAGATAGCATGGTGAACCCATCCCTCGTTCTTACCTGTGCTGTGTAATGAGGGGATGGTTCTCAAAATCCGAAAGATAGATTGTGTAGCACCATTTAGGAGAGACCTTGTTCTGAAAACCAGAACGGTAGGTGGTCTACAGGTTTAATCTCGGGGGATTGCGCTGTAAAAAGTACATGGATGCTCCTGTATAACATACACTTTGAGGTCTTCTTCTGGTGTAATAAACCAAAATGAGAGCATGTTGTAGAGACCAGAGTTTGTAGATATGGAGGGTTAAAAATCCTCGCTGTGTGGAAGTTTCTGAGTCATGGGAGGAAGCCGTGACTTCCCAGCACATCTGTCTGCTGTAGAGCTGTGTATTCTTAGACCCTCTCCTCTGTGCATTGTGTGTGCTGCAGAAACGGGATCATACTCTGTACCTTGCTATTCTCTTTCCATGCTGTGATAGTTAGAAACAATGTCTCCTATCCTTAAATATCTCCTACCCATTGGGGGGCAATTAATTCGTTTCTGAATTTTCACAATGAAAAATATCTATATAGTAAACTTTTTTTTGTAGCTAGCTTTTTCCTAGAAATACATAATTTTGTTAAAGTGAATCCATAATTTTCTTAAAGAGTGGAACTGGTTGGCCTAGGTTCAGGTTCGTTTCTGACCCCTTACTCTGTGATGCCTCAAAAGATATATGCTTTTGAAACTGGGAGAGGCCTGAAAAGTTTCCTTCACTGCACTTGGCTCAGCCATTTCGACATCCAGATGTGCCCCAGGGGTGTGTCCATTAGCTAGGTGGGTGAGTGTGCTCTGAGGGGTGTGTCCATTAGCCAGGTAGGTGAGTGTGCTCCGAGGAGTGTGATCATTAGCCAGGTGGGTGAGTGTGCTCTGAGGGGTGTGATCATTAGCCAGGTGGGTGAGTGTGCTCCGAGGGGTGTGTCCATTAGCCAGGTGGGTGAGTGTGCTCTGAAGGGTCTGCTCATCAGCCAGGTAGTTTTAGCTCTCATTGAGTCTCTCTTGGGGACATGTGGCAGTGTTCTGTGTCAGCACAGTAGCTGCTGCTGACAGCTGTGGTGAGAACAGACCTGGACAGTACAGTAGGGAGGCTCTCATAACAGAATGATCTGGTCCAAGGTGTTGCTAATGCAGCAGAAACCCTGGAAAGATCCGGGGAAGCCTACTGGCACTCTTGAACTTTGTATTGCCATCGCCTTTCTCTGAGAACCCACACACTTCCTGTCCACCTCTGCTCCAGGCTGGTAGATGGACTTTCTCCAAACTCCTGCTCTCCATCAGATCCTGCCTGCTCTTCAGGCCCGCCTCTAGGTCTGTATCCTTGGTTTAAGTAAACTGCGTGACCACGCAAGTTCTTGATGACTCATGATGCTTGTGCCTCTAGGAAAATAATTAAAACATGTCATTAACTTTTGAAACGAAACCGACTTACTGGTTATATTAACAGCCTGACTGATTTGATCAGCATGTAACCACTTAAAAGGATTGCTTCTTTTTCCCTGGCTGTATTAGGGATTGAAGCAGGACCTCAGGTGTGCCAAGTGTGGTGCTCTGCCACTGACGTAGATGATTACTAAGAAAGCCAATATAGACCATCCACTCCATTTTAGCAGCAGTGATTTCCTGCCCTCCATATCGTGCTATGTGTTTTAACTGAGTATTTCAACTCTGAAAGGCAGTTTTTGTTTGCAGGAGGATGTGGTTTCAAGTGTTTCCCACAGTTCACATGTGGAAACTCAACTCCTAGTGCACCAGGGCTGAGAGGTGTAGCCTAATAAGAG